TTCTCTTGGCAGAACTCTATTAGCCTTTGCCCTGCTTCATTCTGTACTCCAAGGCCAAATTTGCCTGTTATTCCAGGTGTTTCTTGACTTCCTACTTTTGCATTCCAGTCCCCTATAATGAAAAGGACATCTTTTTTGGGTGTTAGTTCTGGAAGGTCTTGTAGGTCTTCATAGAACTGTTCAACTTCAGCTTCCTCAGTCTTACTGGTCGGGGTATAGACTTGGATTACCGTGATATTGAATGGTTTGCCTTGGAAACGATCAGAGATCATTCTGTGATTATCGAGATTGCATCCAAGTACTGCATTTCAGACTCTTTTGTTGACTATGATGGCTACTCCATTTTTTCTAAGGGATTCTTGCCCACAGTAGTAGATATAATGGTCAGCTGAGTGAAATTCACCCATTCCAGTCCATCTTAGTAAGACTAATATTTTTTGCCTGCTTTACTTTTTTTTTGGTGTTTAATTTTGCCTGTTTTACTCTTATTCTTAAGTGGCATCTGCCAGTGGCTACACAATGTGTGATAGTATCATTGCTCTTAAGACTAATGAAGTTTGTGGTTATGTACTCTTATGTTTTAAACTCTTATGTTTTAAAAATGTCTCAATTTTAATTTCAAATATGATAAATATTAACAGATACAGTTCACATAAACAAAAGCTCTTTGGGTCCTCAATAATTTTTAGAGTGTAAATGATACTGATACTAAAAAAATCTGAGACCATTGCCACAGATCAATCTATGTACATATCCGTGTAACCAACACCACAGTTGAGGTCTTGACCTACATAGATCCGTAACCATCTCCCTCAAGCTATCCCTTCATAATCACACCACTCCCCTCTCCTCTGCCGTCCCTAACCCCTGGCAGCCACTGTTATCTCTATACACATTACAAACTGCCAGAGTTCATGATAAAATAATTTATTTCTATGGAGCTTCCAGCCATAAACCTTATTTATTTGCTTGACTTCAGAGCTCAATGATCAACACACTTTAAAATCTGGTCATCTGAACACCATTTCACTACCTTCAGATCACAGCCATAAATTAATTTATCAATTGGGTACTTCAAAAGTTATGGCTACTACGGAAATGGCAAATTTTAGTCTGAAAACACAGTTTTTTTGTTTTTAACGATACAAGACACTTACAGATACATATTCAGGAATAGAAAGCTGATCTTCAGGAAAACTTTTTAGCTTCATATATTGCTCTTCTGTCAACTCAAAGTCACGCAGGTTTCGACGAATATCTCCAGCTTTCTCTCTTAGCTGAAGATTTGTCTCTTCTAGTTGTTTCTGTCTCAGTAAAATAGTTTCCATTTCTTGTTTCATTAGTTCTTGATATTTTCTACAATATCAGAGAATATATGGTAAGGTTAAAAAAATCATGGAGACATACTTTCTCAAAGTTCCTATTTTACAGTAATATCAAATTAAATCAGAAACTTAATATTTTTGGCTCCAGCTAAATGCTTAACCAGTTAAACACAAAATGACAGTTATACTAAGTGTGCAGCCACAAAAATTATTAAGTATAAAATGTTAATAACTTTTAAAATTCAAATTATAAAATTATACTTTTCCTCTGCTTAAGGTGTAAATCTGATATATCTGCTTTAGATCCTACTCACTGAAGTAATTTTCACTGTCTTTATCCAGGTAATTTAAGATGGTAACACTGAACCACCATAATGTCAATACAGACAATGAGGTAATGAAAACAGTAATCAGCACCTTTTTCAAGGAATACATGTAGTAGACATGGTTAGTTGCCTACCAGAAAATTTTGAGCAGTAAGGGACCATATGAATCCTGCCCCCCCCCACCAACCACTGTATCCCATCAACATACAAACACACTGTTATTTGCCCTATCTTAAAACAAATGAACAAAAAAGCCCCCACAATTGTTGACCCCATTTCACTGCCCATTTTGTTCTCAAAAGTTTTCTATATCCACTCTCTCCATCGCCTTTCCTCTTAAACAAAGGCTAATCAGGTTTTCACACTTCCACCAAAATCTCCAGGGAACTGAAAAATCCAGATTGCTAATAATCAATATCTCATTTCTTTTTATCTCTATCAATAGCACTTGAGACATCTGCCCTCTCCTTCCTTCATCTGGTTTCCCAGATACCATATTATTTTCCTTTTCATTTTTCTCCTGTTTTATTGGCGACACTTTCCCAGTCTTTTTTTGTTGTTTATCTTAATGTTGAGATTACTTGGTCCTCTCCTCTTGTCTAGGTTCACTCCCTTGGGGAATTCATCCAGTTTCATGAATTAAATACTGTCTGTATCCTAATGCCTCCCAGATTTATCTCTCTAGATCAGACTTCTCATATATATCCACATGGATGTCTAATACAATAACTCTAACCTAACATGTTCCAAACTAAACTCCCACTCTTCACTCATAAACCTATTCCATTATGGTTTCACCATCTCAGTTGACAGCAACTCCATCCTTTGATTTATTCAGGCCAAGGATTGGTACAATCCTTGATTCCTCTTTCTCTCCTAAACCCCACACTGAATCCATTAGGACATCCTACCAGCTTTACCTTTAAAATATATTCAGAATCCAACCTCTTTTTACCACTATCAAGAGGATTACATCAACAGCCTCCTAACTGCCCTCCCCACTTTATTTAATTTGATCAGTGTCTAAAGAACTAGAATAGAAGCCCTATTACCCAATGCAGTGGTTTTCAAAGTGTTATCCACAAGCCAGTAGCAGCGCTCACATCATCTGGGAAGTTGGAAGAAATGCAAATTCTCAGGGCCCAATGTAAGTCAGAATCCCAGAGTGTGCCCAACAGTTTTTTCCCACAAGCCCTCCAGGTGGCTCTGATGCATGGTCAAATTTGAGAACCACACTCATCTAATGTGATAGTGGCTGATAACTGGTCAGATAATTCTTTTGTATATCAGTTAAATAGTAAAATCTTATAAACGGGAAAGATGCCTCCTTTTACATTCACCTCTAATCAAAATACAGAAATAAACATTCATCTGAAACATTTTTTCCCCAGGGTCTAGATTTTTTGTCATATGGAGATGTGCCTTGTTTATCTGTCAATCATTTCTCACGAATTCCAAGTTCAACTTCTTTACAATCGCAGGAGGCCTTTTAAAAAGACACTTGAGAAGAAATCTGAGCATATTTTTATAGATTTGATTTCTATCCCTAATCTCTAAACATCTCTTGCTTACACTTATTTGATGATCTTTTGGTCACTCACTTTCATTGAATCATTCCAAAGAATTCATTATAATCTGCAAAGAACTGTATATGCCTTTGTATTCATTTTAAAATATAATTTTAATTAAGTTATAGAAGTATGAAAGAAAGTGAAAGTGAAGTCGCTCAGTCGTGTCCGACTCTTTGCGACCCCATGGACTGTAGCCTACCAGGCTCCTCTGTCCATGGATTCTCCAGGCAAGAATACTGGAGTGGGTNTTTCATTATAGGGGACTGGAATGCAAAAGTAGGAAGTCAAGAGATATCTGGAGTTAACAGGCAAGTTTGGCCTTGGAGTACAGAATGAAGCAGGGCAAAGGCTAACAGAGTTTTGCCAAGAGAACACACTGGTCATAGCAAACACCCTTTTCCAACAACATAAGAGAAGACTCTACACATGGACATCACCAGATGGCCAATACAGAAATCAGACTGATTATATTCTTTGCAGTCAAAGATGGAAAAGCTCTATACAGTCAGCAAAAATAAGACCGGGAGCTGACTGTGGCTCAGATCATGAACTCCTTACTGCCAAATTCAGACATAAATTGAAGAAAGTGGAGAAAACCACTAGCCCATTCGGGTATGACCTAAATCAAATCCCTTATGATTATACAGTGGAAGTGACAAATAGATTCAAGGGAACAGATCTGATAGACAGAGTGCCTGGAGAACTATGGACAGAGGTTCGTGACATTGTACAGGAGGCAGTAGATCAAGACTATCCCTAAGAAGAGGAAATGCAAAAAGGCAAAAGGGTTATCTGAGGAGGTCTTACAAATAGCTGAGAAAAAAAGGCAGAAAGTTAAGTGGTGATAAGTTTAGAGTGCTTCCATTTTCATGTATGGTTCAGTTATATCTGCAATATTTATTGAATGAATATCAAATTCTGGTTTTCTGTATTTTTTATATTATATCAAGTAGTTTTTTCTTAGTCTGGATGTAAAAATGATTATTGTCTTTAAGATTTCTCTATTTTAGCTCATAATCACATGCACGAATAGGTAATGACATTATTTTTAACTGCTAAATAGATACTGTTGCTTTTAAAAACTTTTACCTGGCATCCTTTTGTTGGAAAGTCAATTGGTTGTCTAATCTCAGGGCTAGTAGCTGCTTCTGGTGAAGTGCATCATTAAGTTTCTCCTCCAATTCTTCAATCTTAATCAAGAGAAAAAGGTAAATAACAAGGTCAATTTGGAAATCTAATAAAACTTTGTTTGTTCATACAAACGGTTGTTAAACTATGCTTTGAATCTGCTGCCTCATAAATTGTTTTTTACCAGGCTGTCATTAGGATTATTTTTCCCTTAATCTAATCTCACTGAAAAACTCTTTGACAACTGGGGTTTATATGCTGGTGCCTTGCCCAGGTAATTTTTCCTGGCCAGACTCTGCATATATTGTAGATCCATATTATCTGACTGCTACATGTCTTCAATTGACTACTACATGGGTGATGCCACAAATGTCCAAAATGAACCTAGTCACCCACCTCACCGAATCTTATATTCTTTGCATCTCTTTGGTCTCCAAAGCAAAAAAATCTCAGTCACATTTGATACATCTCTCCCGTTGCTTATCCTGATCAGAAATCACTGTTTTTTTAATTGTTGAGTTTATTCCGTAAAAAGGTGTCACAACTACACCATCCTCTTTAACATCCAATGACAAGTCTTCAGTTAGATTCCTGCCATACCTTACCTAGATTACGACAATGGTTGCCTACTCTTTCCCTGCCTTCAGCTTTGCGAACCTCCAAAACTATCTTCCTTTACCTATCTTTTAAAAATGCTATCAAAAATGTATTTCCCAGTGTTAAATCCTTCAGAGGATCCTGTTTTCAGAATAAATTCCAAACTGCATGGCACTCTACACTACTCTTTTTTTCTTTTTAAATTTATTTATTATTCGTTTAATTTCGGCTGCGCTGGGTCTTCACTGCTGCATGTGGGCTCTCTCTAGCTGTGGAGAGCAGGGCCTACTCTTCCCTGTGGTGCGTGGGCTTCTGACTATGGTGGCTTCTCCTGCTGCGGAGCATGGGCTTTAGGGAGTGTTAAGGTCTTCAGTAGCTGGGCTCAGTAGTCCTGGCTCTTGGGGCTTAGTTGCTCCATGGTATGTGGGATCCTGGACCAGGGATCGAACCTGTACCTCCTTCATTGCCAGGTGGCCTCTTATCCACCGTACCACTAGGGAAGTCCCTCCACTACTCCTTCTGGATCTGGCCCTTGCCAACCATGCCTGTGGGCACTAGCTTAAAACAAAACTCTATTATAGCCAAAATAAATGCTTGCCATTCCTCAAAGATGTAATGCTCTCTCTTAAGTCTCCATACACCTGAGCTGACTCTTTATCCATTTAAAAAATTCTTTACTCTCTCCCTTTCAACCCAGGCAATTTTTGTTCACCCTTTAAAATATGCAGATTAACATAAGTCAATCCTTAATAAAACTTTCATATGGTTTTTGTCCCACACTGTTCCAATAACAATACTTGTTCAGGTTATGAATCCCATGATGCCCAGTCCAGTGGTTATTTCTGCATATTTATCTTACATGATAGCATGACTTGGCAGAGTTGACCACTCCATCCTCTTTTACCTTATGTGAGAGACTCCTTTTGGTTTTCTTCCTTAACTCACAGGACCCTCTTAAGCGTCTCAGGTTCCTATGATGGATTTTTTTCCTCTACCTTATTTCTAATGTTTGACTACCCCTTGGCTTGGTTTGGGGTCCTCTATTCTCCCCAGGTAATGTCATCCAATAACAAAGCTTTATGTGGTACTTACATGCCTGCAACTCAGGAGACCTGGGTTCAATCCCTATGTCAGGAAGATCTCCTGGAGAAGGGAATGGCACCCCACTCCAGTATTCTTGCCTAGAGAATCCTATGGACAGAGGAGCCTGGAAGCTGCAGTCCAAGGGGTCGCAAAGAGTCACTGAGTGACTGACACTTTCACATGCTGATGTATACTATACTACACACAGACACACACACACACACACACACACACGAAGCTGCAGTCCAAGGGGTCACAAAGAGTCACTGAGCAACTAACATTTTCACACGCTGATGTATATTACATACAAACGCGCGCGCGCGCGCGCACACACACACACACACACACACACACACACATCTACCTACCTCCAGTCATAGACTTTCCTCTAAAGTCAAAGTGACAATTTCATCTGGGAGTTCAATGGCATTTAAAGTTTAATGTGTTCAAAACAGAACTTATATTTTACCTCCTACATCAGTTTTCTTCCAGCTTTCTATTTCTCAATAAATGGCTCCAGGAGATGAAACCAAAAACTTGAAGTCTTACACAAGGCAATTATCTAGTACTGTCTTCCTCTTCCACCGTATCTGCTTTTAGTCTATTGCTTCAGTGATATTTTGAAAGCAGAAATCAGGACATAGAAGTCCAATTGCCTAATCTCTTCAAATGGCTTCTCTAACACACAATTGAAAGCAAGAGTTAACATCAAATTGACAGGCCAAATCCCGCCCATGTCCTGTTCCTATATAGCCCACAAGCTAGGAACAGGTTTTACATTTATAAAGTTGTTAAGAGACCAAAAAAAAAAAAAGAAGAAAAGAAAAAAAAAAGAAGGAGGAAGAATATGTAATAGACCATATGCAAGCTGGAAAGCCTAAAATAGTTACTGTCTTGCCCAGGTCTTCACAGAGAAAGTTTGCTGACTTCCTATCTAAAGCAGAAAATTCCCACTGCTAAGCAATGCTATATCACATGACCTTGAAGACAGCTTATTTAATTGTTGTCTGATGATGTCTCTCACTTAAATATGATCTCCATAAAAAAAGGACTCTTGTCATATTCATTGCTGTATTCCTGGCCACATGTCTCAATACATGTCTTAAGTCAACAAATGATGACCACATTCCTCATAATTACCATTCTGCAAATCAAGAAGACTGTTACCACAAGGAGTGAAACTTCTACTTTTTTCAGGGTGAGAACTTTAACAATTTCAACTGACTTTTAGATTTAAGTCCCTCGACTCAGAGACAGTCAAGCTTCCAGCACTTCCCAAGCAATGAGGAACCCAGGGACCATTAATGAGAGATAAACAAAAAAGAGATTTTAGCATTTAAAAACTGACAGGCGAGAAGAGTGAGGAGGAGAGGAATAAGGAAGTGGAGTAAGCAAGGAGATTTCCGCAGCAATAAGTGTGCATAGAAGTGCAACGAACAGTCCTCTAAGACCAGGAAGCCTGGCCCGAGCAACTCTCCTTCCAGGGCTCTCAGTCAGCAAGCAGCTGAGTGGGGAGTGGGAATCAATGCTTGTGAAGTTTCCTGTGAACAATCTGCTTGGGTTTTTAGAGATGGAGAAATCAAAGCAACATGAGTCTAGTAATAAACTATACCATTAGTTTTGAAAAGTATTAAAAAGCAGAGACAGCACTTTGCTGACAAAGGTCCATCTAGTCAAAGCTATGGTCTTTCCAGTAGTCATGTATGGATGTGAGAGTTGGACCATAAAGAAGGCTGAGCGCTGAAGAATTGATGCTTTCAGACTTGGTGTCGAAGAAGACTCTTGAGAGTGCCTTGGATAGCAAGGAGATCAAACCAGTCAATCTTCAAGAAAATCAGCCCTGAATATTCATTGGAAGGACTGATGCTGAAGCTCCAATACTTTGGCCACCTGATGAGAAAAGCCGACTCACTGGAAAAGACCCTGATGCTGGGAAAGATTGAGGGCAGGAGGAGAAGCGGGTGACAGGGGATGAGATGGTTGGATGGCATCACCGATACAATGGACATGGGTTTGAACAAACTCTGGAAGATAGTCAGACACGACTGGGCAACTGAACAACAACATACCACTAGTAATAAGCTGTAATAAACATAAGCACTATACTGTTCCCATGTTGGTGTGGAGAGATGTTAGATTATACAGATTCACTTATTTCTGAACTAAGAAAGACCTTGAGAGTAAAAACTGTTACTTGTCTCTCTTTCTCAAGTAACTCTGATTTTTATTAGCAGCAACATGTCCAGTTAAAAATTTACACTTCCCAGCTTCCCTCTCCTGGCACCTACATGTAGCGTAGTCAGTCAAGGTCACCAGCTTTAGCTCTAGGAAAGCTCTTTAAAGAACAAATTCATTTGGTATATGCTGCATTTTTCCAACACCCTTCTCCTTATTTCTGCCTAGAACATGGACACAACAGTGGAGGCAGATCAGCCATCTGTGATTTTGAGGTGAAAAACATATGCTATTTTTACAGCCACCCAGAAGATTAAAAGGAGCCTGGGTTTCTAATGATATCAACGGTAAATACCAGGTCTGAATACCTATATTCAGAATTCTGTTATACCAGAGAAACAAAATCCTTATCCTGCTTAAGCTTTGGTTTCCACACTTTTGTGACTGGCAACCAATGTTTTTCAAGTTTCTCATGCTAAGAGCTGAACACTGGACAGCTGGTTCAATCTTTTTCCAGAGAAGAAATAACTATAATATTCAAGACACTCAATCATTCAGGACTACTTGAAAGCTTCTGATGACAGGAACCTCAATAACTTAAAATCAGGCCATTTAAATGTTAATAGCAACAAGTTAAATTCAGCAGAAACCTACCCTCCCTGTGATTTCCAACCATTTTCATGGCACTACAGTCCCTGGAGGAAAATTCATTTTTTTCAGTGCTGAATGTGACATTTTCACCTTCATATACATGATGTTCAATGCATCGGTAAGCTCTGAAGAACGAATGAGTGGCTAAAAATACTGTTCCTTCATCAATCCCAGACTCACACATCTTCACACTTTTCATCTTTGAAGGCAGAATGCATCTTACAAACTACATCACATAACAGTTTAATCTGGCAGTGTTTAACCTTAGCAGTACACGCAATGGTCTGTTTTATAATCCAGGTGCCCTGGATCTGACAAATTAAAGACTAATTCTTCTACCTTTATAATACTTCTTCCCAAGCATGCATGCTAAGTCACTTCAGTCGTGTCTGACTCTTTGCAGCCCTACGGACTATAGCTCGCCAGGCTCCTGTGTCCATGGGGAGTCTCACCTCTTCCCATATTTGACAGCAAATATATTATCCCTAAGGGGTCTCCAAGCAGGACAACTCGAGTGCTTGCATACAAAAAAACACAGGAATGCAGAGTAGGCAGCTACCCTGGAGAGGAATTTGGAAATACACTTAAATGAAGTAGACATATACCCTGCAGCCAGAAATTCCACTCCTGAGTATAGGTGTCAATGTGTTCAGTCACTCAGTCATGGCCGACTCTTTGCAATCCCATGGACTGTAGCCTGCCAGGTTCCTCTGCCCATGGCATTTTCCAGGCAAGAATACTGGAGTGGGTTGCCATTTCCTTCTCCAATACATGTCAAAGAATTGCTCAAATCCAGTCTGGAAGAGAAATGTCTAAAGAAGGCCACACCACATGAGGTGGCAAGGGTTTGGAGGCAGCCTGCGGGCCAGCACTGGGGGAGCGGGTAGACAGATGGGAAGACACCGGAAATGCGTGGCTGCTGGAAGCAGAAGGCTACATGCACATGTAGTCACAGGAAGGATTTTTAAAACAGCACTGAGTTGAAAGGAAAAGCTATAAAAGAAATAAAATCTAAAACAAAACAGGCCATTTAGATTTATGTAAAGGAAAAAAATTTAAAAAATACTAATTTTCAAGATAAATGTTTATAACAACTCCAATTGGAGTACAAGCTTTAAAAATTATGAGATGCCCCCCTGGTGGTCCAGTGGTTAAGAGTCCACCTGCCGATACAGGGTACACAGGTTCGATCCCTGGTCCGGAAAGATCCTACATGCTGTGGGACAACTAAGCCTGTGTGCCACAACTGCCGAGCCCACGCTCGTAACTGCTGAGGCCGGCACGTCCCAGAGCCCACGCCCTGCAACAAGAGCAGCCACCACAGTGAGAGGCCCACGCACGGCAACTAGAGCGCAGGCCCTTTAGCCACAACCGGAGAGCCCATGTGGGCAGTTTCAAGATTTGGCACAGCTGACTTTATCTATTAATTTAAATTAATCAGTTTATTGATTGATTTTATTTATACATCAATAATTTTTTTTCATTTATTTTTATTAGTTGGAGGCTAATTACTTCACATTTCAGTGGTTTTTGTCATACATTGACATGAATCAGCCATGGAGTTACATGTATTCCCCATCCCGATCCCCCCACCCACCTCCCTCTCCACCCGATCCCTCTGGGTCTTCCCAGTGCACCAGGCCTGAGCACTTGTCTCATGCATCCAACCTGGGCTGGTGATCTGTTTCACCCTAGATAATATACATGTTTCGATGCTGTTCTCTTGAAACATCCCACCCTCGCCTTCTCCCACAGAGTCCAAAAGTCTGTTCTGTACATCTGTGTCTCTTTTTCTGTTTTGCATATAGGGTTATTATTACCATCTTTCTAAATTCCATATATATGTGTTAGTATGCTGTAATGTTCTTTATCTTTCTGGCTTACTTCACTCTGTATAATGGACTCCAGTTTCATCCATCTCATTAGAACTGATTCGAATGAATTCTTTTTAATGGCTGAGCATTGATTGATTCATTTTATTTATAAATCAATAATTTGAAAAATAAAAATTGTGAAACACTATGTTGTACACTTGAAACATATAATACTATAAATCAACTATATACCTCAAGAAAAAATTTTTTTAAAGAATAAGTGTTAAAAGGTAAAGGCAAACATAAAGAGGAGGAGGAAGGGAAATGAATGACAGGAATAAAAGAATAAACACACAAACTAAGAAGTTTTCTTGCAAGGATCAATGATGATTATGTATCATAAACTCAGGAATATGACTAATTTAACCTTCTACATTTTCAGCCCAACCAGAAAACCACCACAATAAAAAATTATATAAAGCACCATGGGATATAATGTAATAATAATAATAATACAGTGTTGAGCAAGTATAACTACCCCTATTACTCATTGTACAAGGGTCAGACATGACTGAGCACACACTCCATCATAGCCATCTAAGAGTTTATGTGCATTGATTAATCTTCCTAACAACTCCATGAAGTACAAAACATGATTATTATTTTACAGGAAATCAGGGAACAAAAAACTTAAGGAATCTGTCCAAGGTAACTGTAAGGGCTGGGATTCAAACTCAAACTGTGTGTATCTAGGACTGTAGCTCTAATTTGTTATACTTGGAAGCGTCTCAAGAATAAGCCACCATTCCAATAACGTAAACATTACACTTTAAAAAGAGAAACCACTGACAACTGAGCACCATGCAAGTTGAAAACGAGAGATTTAAAAAGTAGCCAAACAAAATGCAATTTTGAATGTGGTATACAGCTGGCATTTAATAGAATACTTAGGGCTTCCTTGGTGGTCCAGGGGTTAAGAATCCTTTTTGTAAAGCAAAGGACACCAGTCTGATCCCTGGTCTATGAAGATCCCACATGCAACGGGGCAACGGAGCTCGTGTGCCACAATTAGTGAGCCAGCCCCCTGGCCACAACTGCTGAAGCCTAAGCACCCGAGCTCATGCTCTGCTACAAGAGTAACCACAGCAATGAGGCGCCCGTGCACCACAACTAAAGAGTGGGCCCCCCACTCATCGCACACAGCAAGAGACACCCAGCACAACCAAAAAACAAATGAGTAAGTATTTTAAAAAACAGACTATTTGTTGACTGACTGGGTAAAAGAATGGAGACCTACCTTGGGGTTCTTCAATGAGTTCCAGTGAAGGAGATCTTAAGGGTAGAGATACACAAGCCAGTATCACCATGGGAATCCATTTGAGGAGTAAAAATATGACTCAAGGAAAAGAAATGGGAAACCACTGGATACACTGATAAAATATCAAGTGACCTAGTCTTGGTCAGTGACACCACAGAGAACCTAAAAGGAAGTCTTAGGAGACTGGCTTGGATGGAATGCAGGCTTTAGCCTATTTGGTGTTAATCCCATCTGGCTCCATCACTTCTATGTGAATGGCTCTGGTAAGCTATTAACCAATTGTGGTTCCATTTTTTCAAGAGCAAATGGGGTTCAGTTACTCATATAAGAAACAGCCAAGCACATGCGAGGTGCCAGAGGCAGTTCTAAGCATTGAAGCTACAACAGGGACTACAAAGAAGTCCCCCATTCCTGTCCTCAGGAACCTTACACTCTATTAAGAGAGACAAATACCCAACAAACAAGGCAAGTATACTATGAACGCGTATAAGGCACAGAAAATAAACACAGTGAAAACAATGAGAATGTTACTTTAGTCAATAACCACAACAATAACTATACTTACTGTGTACTTAACGAAATATCCATCTAACTTATTCTACTGGTTCATTTAATTTGATGGATCAGATAAAATGCCCTAAAAGCACCTGTACAGCAGGTAAAAGCACCTCAAACAGTTGTATGGCTCAAATGAGATAACACATGAAAAGCTCACAGAGCAGAGTCTGGCATAGAATAGGCACTCAGTAAACATTAACTATTAATGTTTTTTAAAAATGCACCTAAATGATCTCTTTACACCATCAAGACCTTGGGGTTTAGGACATTTCATTTTCCTAGAGAGGTGTGGTCAAGAAATTTTTCTAGTAGCATGATCTCTATACATAGGCAAGAACTACCCAAGACTGACTTAACAGAGAAAAAATAAGACATAACTGAAACAAAATGGGAGGGGAGGAGATAGGTAGAGCTGGAAGTCAAGAGCAAAGATGGAGGGTTTACCATCTTCCATATCTCTTCTCTGTGGAAAGAGAAGACTTTCTCAGAAGACAGAGTAGTAAGACTTAAGAAGAGTCTCCTATCTTTCTGAAATCACTGTAAATTTTTTTCTCACTAGTGACAACTTTACCAGGTCTTACATAAAATACTCTAACTATAAAAAAAAGCACAAAAGACAGAAAAACAAGGACTGAGGCATTCCTTCTTATTTGGCAGATAACTTATTAAAGCTATGGTAACTGAATTTGTTATACTTGGTACTACGATACAGTAACTATCAAATAGCAGGATATAAAAGAAACCAAATCTCCACAGTAAAGGATTAAACAGATTCAACAATGTAATAATAATCTTGATTCTCCCTACCCAACTAGTCATATCAAAGCTAATTCTCAGTGAAGCAGAAAAACAACTTGGCTAGGGAAAAAACACTGATAATTATTTTCTCAAAATGTTAGAAGTATCAAGTTCAGATTAAATATTCATAAGTTTAAATCTTATTTATCTGCAGTTTGAAGACAACAAAGCACACAGATAACAAAATTTACACATGATCTTACCTTTGTAAGATAATCAACCTTCAAATTATCGATCATCATATTTTTCTGTGATAGCTCTATTTTCAGTAACTGAATATTATGAAGCAGTTCTTTCCGTTCAATTAGCTGCCTGGTGATTTTGATCTTGCCATCCTGCTCTTCCGATGAGGAAATATCATCTGTAGGAATTGTTGTTTCTAAACTAATATCTTCAGATTCCAGGGAGCTAGAGATGTTCAGTTTTTTTGATGCCTTGCTAACTTTTCGAGACATTTTAAATTATTATGGGTCACTTTTCGTTTCCAATTCTATTTCAATTTTCTGTAGATTAAAAAACACTGATTTAAATATATTCAAACATTCTTTGTGGAAAGCAGAAAGTTTATCAAAGAGATACTAAGGATTCCCTAAGAAATTATTAGGCAAATGGGCAGACCCCCAAATCTAAGACAGATTGGTAAATTATTGCTCAAATCAAACATATTAAATCAGTCATTAAATCCTATTATGAACCCACACTTTTGATAAGTAAAAACTCAGTTCCTGGGGGCAGGTCTCTTACTTGGGTGTAAAGAAAGAAATAAACAATAAAGCCTTAAATCGCTAGTATCCAAGAATGCTACTCATAAAAGTTACACATGGTGTAAGATAAAGAAGTTACTTCTGAGATGGTCAGGGAAAGGTTATACAGAGGGAGAATTTAGAATCTTGAAGGATTTGGAGAGGAGTAATAAAAAATGAAAAGCCTGCAGGTATGAAGGTATAAAGGTGATGAAACAGTAAAACAACCTCGGGAAATAATGGTACTCAGGCTGGGCCAAGCCTATGTGAAAGTGAGTAGTGACTCCTCCCCTACTCCCCCAAACAGAAATACACAGAAGGGTAGTCCTTTATGCATAATCAAGACTGTGGAGGTCCTTGAATATTTCAATATGTTCTACATTTATTCTACAGGTAATGCTGCATCACTGAAGTTTTTTGAAAACCGGAAGCTGAGATAAAACACATTTTTATAGACTTGCAGATAGGAAAATTAAACAAGATGGTAACAAAAATTCCTCGGTCTAAAACTCTACCCTTTCACACAAATTTTAGCAACTACCTTCCTTTAATTGTGCACAATATAATAAATTACTTATAGTATTGAAGATACTGGTTTTCTGTTTTTTAACTGATGGATTAGGAAAAATGTGTGTAGGGGAAACCTGAGAACTCTGGATGGATCGGCTTCCCTCATTTTTAAAGGGACAGGGGTAGGTAAGCAAAGGCGAATCAAAGACTGGTAACATCACCTGGATTACAAAGGGTGAGGGACTGGCACTGCCCACACGTGTTGCGCGAAGGATAAAACCCGAATCTGGCAGCATCAGAGGATTCCTACACCAATGCGAAAACGGAGAAGCCTCGAGCTACCTGGAAAGCTTCAGTTATCACGTTGAAGACTCGAGCAGTCGCCTCTTAGAGGAGCTAGAAGTGTCTCCAGAGGGCAGCTCGGGTTGCAGCCCCTCAACAAGGAATCACAGGTGGGAGACGGTTAGCACCGGTAACCAAGACAACCATTTCCGCGCCGGGAGGACAGAGGAGACAGCTTCCTGGCTGATGCCCACGCTGCCGGAACTCAGCGCTCCCCGGTCCACCCGGGCGCGGGAAGCAATGAATGCTGGGAGCTGGAGTCCAGAGGTGGCCTCGCCCATTTCATGGACGGAAATGGTTCTGGGCTCCGCCCATCTGCCCGCTTTCGCCCAATCCTCACAGCCCTTAGAAGGCCAACCAACAGCAGGCTCGAAGTTTTTCCGCTAGAGAGGTTCACTAATATCCTGGAGGAGGAAGGAGCGAACTTCTGGTTAAAGTGTGGTTGTGCAACAGGGCTCCGAGCTTGACACTTTCCGCCGGAAGAGCACTATAGCGGGTCGGGATTCCGAGCGGGGAGGCGAGATGCTCAAGTCCAAGACTTTCTTGAAAAAGACGCGGGCGGGTGGCGTGATGAAGATTGTGCGCGAGCACTACCTGCGGGATGATATAGGCTGCGGTGCGTCGGGGTGCGCGGCGTGCGGCGGAGCGCACGAGGGGCCTGTCCTCGAGCTGCAACCCCTGGACCGGGCGAGTAGCCTCTGCCCGCAGCCACACTACTTGCTGCCGGACACCAACGTGCTGCTCCACCAGGTGCGCCGATAGGCGGGCGGAGCCGCGGGCACCGCTGTCCCACCAGGAGAAAGGGAGACAGGGACACTGAGACCCTAGGAGGAGCGTCTTGGGCAGCATTACGTAGTCAGGGAGAGGCAGCCCCACGGGACCCATGCCTCCTGCCCCCAGGCCGAAGTTCTTTTTCCTTCTACTGTTTTTTTTTTTTTTTTTTCCAATCTTTACTTTTTTGAGTTCTTGGAGTTATAAGAATTTTAGATACGTCAACTTTCTAACTCCTGCTGTCTCTTCTGCCTTAGATTTTAATGTCTGGAGGCCGGGGACCTGGGCTTCTGTGGCCTCCTGCCTGCGACCCCCAGGCAGCTTGTAAGTGCCTACGAACGAAAACCATGTGGGCCAACGTATTTCTTTATTAATGATTAATTCTACAAAGTTTTGTAGCTAGTTTGTTTACACTTTAATCGACCTGAAGGGTTGGTTTTCTGTTGCAAAATAGCTCCTTAGTTTAATGTACAGGTAGTATTAAAAAAAAAAAAACCTGCAGTTTTAGGTTCAACAGAAGCAATTTATGAATGAACACGGGAAAAAAAATAACTATTTATTTATTTATTTACTTAAAAGATTGATGTCCTTGAGGACCCTGCCATCAGGAATGTCATCGTGCTACAAACAGTTCTCCAAGAAGTGAGAAATAGGAGTGCTCCAGTATACAAACGAATCCGAGATATGACTAATAACCAGGAGAAGCATTTCTACACATTTACTAATGAGCATCATAGGTAGGGGGGAAATTACCTCAGTTATCAAGAAACTAGTACTAGCTAAATTGGGGGGTGAGAGTTCCTGGCTGGCATCTGTGACATTGTTGGAAGATACACTTTTAAGTTTCATACTTCTGGGAGTAATGTTTGATTCTTACACAGTTTACAGACCTTGCTAAGGTCACATAGGCGTCGATTGGGTCAAAGCCAGAACCAAAGTCTCCTGGTTCCTAGAAAGTGGTAGGTCCTTTAATCTCCAAAATGTTTTCATTTTGAATTGGTTTTAGCATGAGTTGAGCAGTAGGATTTTTGGAAGATGAGATTTGCCTAGGTTTCTGATGTACCGTGTTATATGAATAACCAACATAAGTTAATTAAATATAGGCGTTTGTGAAGGAGAACTTTAAAAATATAAAGCAGGTATATTCTTAATGGGCTCTTAAAAGTTACACTAATACCTTATAACTGATCACATTAATGACAGTAAGGTTAAGAAATATAATTCGTTTCAGATTCAAGATGTTTGTTTCAACTTATTGTGTGATCTTAGAAAATATGGTATTTATTACATTGGGCTTCCTGGGTGGCTCAGTGGTCAAGAATCCGCCTGCCAATGCAGGAGATGTGAGTTCCATCCGTGGGTTGGGAAGATGCCTTGGAGGAGGAAATGACAACCTGCTCCAGTATTTTGCCTGACAAATCCCATGGACAGAGGAACCTGGCAGGCTAGTCCATGGGGTTGCAGAGAGTCAGACACGACTGACAGATGGAGCATGCATTTCTTGTATTACATAAATAATTTATAACGAATCCTGTTTACTTTTATTAATCAGGATTTCTCAACATTGCCATTATTGACCAATTGGACTGGGTAATTCTTTGTTATGGAAAGGCTATGTGAGGCCCTGTAGGGTGATTAGCAGCATTCCTGGCCTATACTCACTATGCCAGTAGCAAACCCTCCCCTCACCCACCACCACCAATCCCATGAGCTGTAACAGCCCAGAATGTCTTCCGATGTTGTCAAGTGTCCTCCAGGGGGGAGGATATCAGGGGCAGTATCACCCCAGATATTGAGAACTGCTGGGTTAGACAGTGGATTGGATAATGAAATCCCATGGGCATATACAACCTTAAAAATATTTAATATTTCAAATTTCTCTTCCTTATTCTTATATCCCAGACTTAAGTATTACTTATGTAAAGAATATCAGTTAAGCACTTGTAGAATTCTTGTTTCTATTTCTTCTTTAAAATCCAAAAACAGGAACTTCACAGTTTTTCAGCACTCAGAGACTTAGTTTCTGTGGAGCATGACCATCAGATTTTTAATACAAAGTTAACACTTTTCTTGGCTGTAAAGGTGCAGTAAATAGAGCTTAGCAGTACTGGGGTTGACAGGAAGAATTAGGACACTCAGGCATGCTAAAACCAATTCAGAAATTTATGACCGTGTCTTTGATAATTCTAAAAACATTAACAGATGTGTTTAATTTATATTAAAGCAGGTTTATTTATATTAAGTATAAAACTCTAAAATTGAACCTCTAACCTTTAAGAAGTAGGTAGAAGTTATTGTGCTGAATTTTGTAATTGTTCTTAAATTTAGCTTTGAAGAACAGATTTAAAGAAATAAGTATACTGACATTTGATAGCTCAGAGTTGGTAGACTTAGAAGGAATATGCAGTCATATCTGGGTCTTGTCTTTCATTATCTTGATGGCCCTTGTCATGTATTCCGAGTTTATCATGGATAATTTACAGGCATCATGTACTTAATAACTACATTAATCATATGATCACACGTCATCTAATCATACAGTTGGTAGCTTTTAGGAATTTCTGTTAATCTACAGTTTGAATGAAATCTCATTATCAGACCTGTAAAATATTAGTATAGTTTTTTTTTTTCAACAAACTGTTACTTTTTTTTAATGTCCCAACCTATAGAATAAATTCCGATATTGAGTTTTTCTTTTGATGAGATGAATTTATTTTAGCTTTTTATTATTCCATTAATAATATGATTTTCTTCTTTCCAAGCAAATTGTTGTCTTAAAGACATCACTAGAAGGATCTTAATTTATTTCCTCTGTGAGGTATAAATGTGAATACATTCGGGGCAAAGATGTACTATTGACTTTTATGTTCAGTGATCATTAAGCGTATATGTCCAAAGACTCTTCCCTTGTGCTTGGTTCTGTGGATTTCCGTTTCTTGTCTTTCTCTTTCCCCTGTTTATTACACTTAGAGAAACTTACGTGGAGCAAGCACAGGGAGAAAATTCCAATGACAGGAATGACAGAGCCATCCGGGTAGCCGCAAAATGGTACAACGACCACTTGAGGAAAATGCCGGCAGAGCATCGGCTGCAAGTCCTCTTCATAACCAATGACAGGAGAAGCAAAGAGAAGGCCGTGGAAGAGGGGGTACCAGCATTCACGTGTGAGTCTCTGTGTGACCGGACTGTCAGTTCATGTTTGCAGACGCACGCAAAAATTATCATCAGGCCCATGGTCAGATGTTCATTTGACTTTTTGGTGTTTTCATGGTCCTGTATAGCTTAATGTGACATTTTTGTATTTTTTTTAAATTTTTCAACATTGCTGAGCTAAGCGAGTTGTGCCACCAGTGGCTGTTAATTTTCCTGCCAACATTTGGAGTGGGCTTAGCAATAGAAGTTCATAGACACACTTGATCCACTGCCTCTCGGGCTTGACCACCTCTACAGAGGTTCCCTCCCCTCCAAAAAATTGATATGTGTACTGTCACGAATAAGATAACCCATGTTCTTCTGAATTTAAGGGGGATAAAAAACATTTAAATTTATCAAGAACAAAAAACTTATTTTTCAGGTGAAGAATATATAAAAAGCCTAACTGCTAACCCCGAACTCGTAGATCGTCTTGCTTGTTTGTCTGAAGAAGGGGTATGTTTCAGTTTGCTTTATTTTGTTTTTGGGAAGTGAAAGATTAACATAGCCACTTTGGGATGTTAAGCTTATAATTACCGGATTTAGAAATTGGAATATCAGTGGGCAAGCTGGGATTGAAATAGGAGTTGGGTGATAAACAACACAAATGGCTGGAATAGGCTTTTGATCAAAATGGCGTCCCTAAAGTCTTGACTTCTGCAATACCACTGTTCACTGATACATCCTCAGCAACCCAAGTAGGGCCTGGCACAAGGTGGCACTGTTTGTGTGATTAATCAGTGAAGGAGTTCATAGCTGGCTTGTGATAAGGAGTAGGTGTTTGACAAAGAAACAAGTGGTGGGCCCTGGAGAGAGAGCATCCAGCTGTAGTGTTAATTCCATAGGAGGAGGGAGGGCTCATGAGAAGTAGAACAGGAAGGCAAGGGGCCAGAGAGTGAGGACTAGCCATTTATCCTGTTAGTAATTTTTAAACTATCATATAAAGGTCTCCCTAAAGGGCTGCTACTAAGAGAAGTTGCACATAGGATTCTGGGCTCCCTACCTTATACTCTTAGGCTGAAAACATTAAAGGTTGATGAGAGTGTGGCTAGTAGGAACGGAGAACAATCAGAAATGTTACTTATTTGGAAAACCACTCTAATCTCTATTATAAGATGATACCTTGTATCTCAGCAGGATTAGAGGCAGAGGCAGGAGTAGAGGGTCACTGCAGTAGTGGATGTGAGAGGGAATCCTTAACCTTATTTCCTTGAATGTGAAGTGTGTTGGGCAATAACAATGTCATAGCATTGTTAGGGTCGGATGGTGATAATGTTCAGTCGCTAAGTCGTGTCCAATTCTTTGTGACTCCATGGACTACAGCACCTTAGGCTCCTCTGTCCTTCACTATCTCCCGGAGTTTGCTCAGGTAACAGTAGTGTTAATAAAATTCTTATCTCAGTGCCTGGCACATAATTATGGTACATGTAAATGGTAGATACTATTAGGTTTTATATAATAGTGTATGTACATCCAATCTTTACAGCATTTTTTTCTCTGCCTGTTTTCAACCAGCTACTTCACTAACCTAAATAGAAGTGAAAAAATAAAAGCTGGACTTTATGTTTAGAATACAGGTAATAGCATTATCCTATCTAATATTTATCCACTAGTTGCATGCAGCTGTTTAAGTTTAGTTCAGTTTACAATTCATTTTCCCAGTTATCTCCCTAAAGGGCTGCTACTAAGAGAAGTTGCACATAGGATTCTGGGCTCCCTACCTTATACTCTTAGGCTGAAAACATTAAAGGTTGATGAGAGTGTGGCTAGTAGGAACGGAGAACAATCAGAAATGTTACTTATTTGGAAAACCACTCTAATCTCTATTATAAGATGATACCTTGTATCTCAGCAGGATTAGAGCAGAGGCAGGAGTAGAGGGTCACTGCAGTAGTGGATGTGAGAGGGAATCCTTAACCTTATTTCCTTTAATGTGAAGTGTGTTGGGCAATAACGATGTCATAGCATTGTTAGGGTCGGATGCTGATAATGTTCAGTCACTAAGTCGTGCCCAATTCTTTGCGACTCCATGGACTACAGCTCCTTAGGCTCCTCTGTCCTTCACTATCTCCCGGAGTTTGCTCAGGTAACAGTAGTGTTAATAAAATTCTTATCTCAGTGCCTGGCACATAATTATGGTACATGTAAATGGTAGATACTATTAGGTTTTATATAATAGTGTATGTACATCCAATCTTTACAGCATTTTTTTCTCTGCCTGTTTTCAACCAGCTACTTCACAAACCTAAATAGAAGTGAAAAAATAAAAGCTGGACTTTATGTTTAGAATACAGGTAATAGCATTATCCTATCTAATATTTATCCACTAGTTGCATGCAGCTGTTTAAGTTTAGTTCAGTTTACAATTCATTTTCCCAGTTGTGTTGTTCACCTTTCAAGTGTCCAAGAGCCCCTTGTGCCTAGTGACTGCCATGTTGGAGATCACAAGAACACTTCCTTTATCACAGAATTGATTTGGGTAGCACTAAATGAAGTGGATAGGTCTAAATGAAGAAACAGGAAGTAGTCCAACATTGGTAATTCACAGTGTTTGACTATGTACTCTGATGGAGTAGAGTAAATGTAGGAGATAGTGAAACTGCAGTCAGTTCTATTATAGTACCTGTGTGTGTTCCCCAAAGTCACTGTGCCATGTAAAGTTTTATATAATGAAAACTACAGAGCTTGGGCTTCCCTGGTGGCTCAGATGGTAAAGCGTCTGCCTATAATGCAGGAGACCCAGGTTCAATCTCTGGGTCGGGAAGATCCCCTGGAGAAGGAAATGGCAGCCCATTCCAGTACTCTTGTCTGGAAAATCCCATGGACTGAGGAGCCTGGTAGGCTACCGTCCATGGGGTCGCAAAGAGCTGGACAAAAGTGAGCAACTTCATTTTCACTTTCACTTTCACAGAGCTTAAGGGAAAATGTGATTAGGGACACAGGCAGAAACTTCTTGACGCAGTGGAAAGAGGATTTTCTCAATATAAACAGAAAAACAGAAAGTTGTTACACCAGATGAAGATGGTGTGGCTAGTAAAACATGGTAATCTGAAGTAACCAGTAGGTGTTTGAGGCATGTGTTTGTGTGTGTGAATGTTTTGTGGATTCAGCTTGGTTCAGCTGGATGCAGTTTTCTGCTCTCACCTGGTAGTTTTCTAATTTACCAGTTGCATTGGAACACATTTGTGTTTTCAGAACAAGCATGATAGGAGAGCTAACCATACTTAGCCAAGGCATCTAACCCAGATTTGAAATGTCAAGGCTTCCTGATAAAATTGTATCTGAGTTGAGATGAGAAGGATGTTAAAGCAAATTGCTTTGAGACAGAGACATTTTAGCTGTGTTGTATGTTAAAGGAGTTAATGACTAGGGGAAGAGCATTTCATGTGGAAGGAATAGCAAGTTAAAAGGCTGTGAGGTTAGAATAAGTTGGCAAGATGGCGAAACCCCTAAAAGTGTGGATGGGATGATGTAAGCAAGGGAGAAAAATGTTAGGAATGAAGTCAGAAATGTAGGCAGGGATGAGATCATGTAAGGATGTAGTAAGTAATGGAAAAAAATTGAATTTTAGTCCATGAGCACTGGACAGCTATTGAGCAGAATAATATACCTGTTTCCCTGTTCTAAGGAGAACAGGTTAGAAGCAGGGGCCTCCACTTAGACGGATATTTTAGTATCCCTGAGAGACAAGACAGAAAGTTGGATCATGGTAGCAGAAGTTAAGGTAGTGAGAAGTCAGATGTTGTGTGTATTTTGTTGATATAATAAATATTTTGTTGATTTTAGGATTTGGTCATAGATGGGGCTGAGAGGGTACAATTAGTTAATCAGTTAATTATTTTAATAGGCCATATCATTAATCTGTTTAATAGGTTATGTTCATGGTAGGTTTAATAGGTCCATATTTATTTTTAATAGGTCATGTTTATATGGTGGTGAGAATATTATAGTACAGGGGGGAATTTGATTCCAGAGAGAGAAGAACAAAGGTCTTGAGTAGAGGAGAGGAAGTGGGGGATAGATGCTCATAGGTGAGCAGATTCAGCATGGAGAGATGAAGCAAGTCTCGATTGATTGCTTCCGGTTCTCATTGTGGAGGTGGAGGTCCCTCATCTGAGAGTGAGGAAGGAAGACAAGGAACTTGGAGAGTTAAGCAGAAGAGAAGGTATAAAGTGATCTCCTTAGAAGATGGGAAATTTAGGAAGTGTAGAAGTCTAAAGGAGCCAGGCAGTTAGATTGTTGGATGTTGGAGGTCTCAGAGGATCCTGGAAGATACCGCGGTGGATCTACAGCAGGTCCCCGCCTACCTCTGTCTGATTGCGTTAGCTGTTTAAAATAATCTAAGTAAAAATAGCTTTTCTTTGCTTTCAGGAACCACAGTCTTCTCATACATTTGAGATTTCCTATTACCCTTTATATACTCCTGCCTGCTCACTTGATCACATAGCTACACACCTTCATTCGGGGACGCCTGGATGGGGTTGGAGGGGTACACAGAGTTTCTTCTTCGGTGGCTGATACCAAAGTGTAATGAAATGGAAATGTTTGTGTATGTTGCCTTAAGAATAAAAAGCATTTTTTTTTCTTACTGTGCTATGTTCTTTGAAATCCATGAGTTGTATCTACAGTAACATGGATGGTTGTTTTAAATACCTGATAGTGATAATAGTTGTATATGGAGCATACCAAAGACTCACATACTAACTATATCTCTTTTGGTTTGCTTATTTCACAGAATGAAATAGAAAGTGGAAAAACAATATTTTCAGAGCATCTTCCGTTAAGTAAGCTACAACAGGGCATCAAATCTGGCACATACCTTCAAGGGACATTTCGAGCCAGCAGGGAAAACTACTTAGAAGCTACAGTGTGGGTCCATGGTGATGACGAAGACAATAAAGAGGCAAGTGTGTACATAAATTCGTTTCACACTAAAATATTTTCTGTTCATTTTTTTCTTTCATAAGTGTTTCAGATTTTTGTACAAGAATTTAAATTTGCTTTATCCTCCTAGTTAGTGAGCTTGAAGTAAGTTATATGAGAGGTCACAGATGATAGAATTAATCATTTTTTCAGAAAACTGCTTATTAAGGAAAAGAATTTTCTATTAGCCCCTTTTAAGAGAATACAAATATAATCAATCAAAACCAAACCCCGCTATGGTGCCTCTATTTTCTGCATTATGATCTATTATGGGAAATACTATTTACCTAATGTATAATTGCTCCAGAGGGCTTCCCATACTTTAAAGCAAACAGCAGTCATTTTGGGGTGCTCACTATTTGCCAAGTACTTGTCTTAGTGCTTGGAATTCTGCATTTCATTTAATTTTCAACTCTGCTTATAAAAGTAGGCACTCTTTTGTTTTACCAATCAGGACCCTGAGATTTAGAGAGATTAAAAATTCTGGTATTAATGTAAGAGTTATGTGGAACACATGAACACAACTCATATTTTCTGACATTGTTTTTTCTATTTGATATTGAAAAATTTAGAGGGCAGAGGAAAGGGGCACTATGAAGGAAGAAAAAATATAAAGGAAGTGAAATAGAAACACGCAGACATCAGAATATATCTCAACTTCTTGAGGGCAACCTTCCCATTATTATTTCCCTTTGAAAATGTCTGGGCATGTGTTCTTTGCTATTCACACAGATAATCTTACAAGGACTTAAAAATTTAAACCGAGCTATTCATGAAGATATTGTGGCTGTGGAGCTTCTTCCCAGGCATCAGTGGGTAGCTCCATCTTCTGTGGTTTTACAAGATGAAGGTCAAAATGAAGATGACATAGAGAAAGAAGAGGAGAGAGAACGCATTGTATGAAACCAAGCAGGTTTTATTTCTTGTCTGTGTAGCTTTGAATAATTTGTTAATGTGTTAGCTTTGGAGAAAATTAAACAAGTTTCATTGCTTTCAGATTTATGGAATAAAATTATAGTCCTATAGGTTTAATGTATGTCATATACATAGTTGATTTCTTTTCCTCTAACTTAGTCTTCTTTTAAATTAATGTCTTACTGTGATCAAATAAACAGGTTGAAATACAAAAAGACTTAACTTGAGTATGAAACTTGAACTCTGACATTCAGGTATATGATCTAGCTGAATTAGGTTTAAGTAAATAAAATTTTATTTTTTCTTCTTTTACAGATTTAAAATTTTTCAAAATGTTTTTATGCAATGTTTATAATCCCCTCAACATAGTAGATGTACTTCTAGGCTCTTAAAAATAAGTCTGTTTAATAATTCCTTCTCTGTTACCATATTTATTATGAAGAAAATGCTTTCCGTTGTTTTTTATGACCTAAAGTCTACCTGATAGGTATTTTTCCATTTTAGAATTGTAAGAATGATACAAGTAGTTGGAATTCACAGAACTTTAGTAGTTCTTCTCTTTATATGAATTATAATCACTACTTTAGAGTCTTACTATAACACTATCTTGACAAAGTCCAGGCCATAGGAGAGTATTAGAGGTGAAATACTATAGGGTTCTTTTGCTATTTCTAGTAAGAACTATTATTTATTTGGGTTTATATTTTGAATAAGACAAGCGTTTAAAGATACATCTCTTTTTTTAAAATGAATTAATAAGTACCACTCTGCTCATTACTGGAAACTACTACTAAAATCATATTAATTACCAGACCTGTGCATGAGCATGTGTGCGTCTGTGTGTGTCAGTAAATCGTGTGTGTGTCAGTAAATCCTCACATTAAAACTGGAGAGTTGGGGTCTCACATGTTTATTCAGTTTTCTCTTTTTGATTTTTTTTTTTGGTAGTGCATTATTATGGAATTATTTTTGTGGTTTTGTTTGGCATGCTCTTGCCTAGAATCTTGAAACATCAAAATTCCATAGTTTTATGTCATAATTTACTGCCTGAAAAAGTATTAGTGTCTGTATTCTAATTCTGAAGGGAAATTGCCTCATTACCCTCACAGGACAGATAACTGAAGGTTTTTACTTTTATTTTTATATCTCAGCTTAAGACTGCTGTAAATGAAAAAATGTTAAAGCCTACAGGTAGAGTTGTTGGGATAATAAAAAGGAACTGGAGACCATATTGTGGCATGCTTTCCAAGTCTGATATTAAGGAGGTGAGTAAAGAGCATGTTGCTATGTAATGGAAAATGATGTACATTGAATAGAATTTAGAGCCCTCACCTTGCCCCCATCCCCAGCCTTTTGTGTGTAAATTCTTTTTTCCTAATGTTCTCTAGTCAAGAAGACATCTCTTTACTCCTGCTGATAAGAGAATCCCTAGAATTCGGATAGAAACCAGACAGGCCTCTACATTAGAAGGACGGAGAATTATTGTTGCTGTTGATGGTTGGCCAAGAAATTCCAGATATCCAAATGTAAGCTTGAATTAATAATTTTATGTTAGAATATTTAAAACTTTAGGAATAAAGTTGCTTCTTTTACTGAAAATAGAATCTGTCTTTATATAAAATGCATGCTTAAATTTAGGAGAATTAAGTAGTACATCCAATCTGAAAATTAATCCTAGGAAATTCCAATGTAAATCATTTGGTTAATTTTATTCAGACTTACTAACAAGTAATTTTTGGTGACACTGACTACAAAATTAGTGTTTGAGACCTAAGTAGATTCTAATAAACAAATTTTGAAGCTAAGATATTTGAAGTAACTTTTAAACTTGAGAGATAATAGGAGCTAAACAGATACCTTGTTATGTGAAAACTGAACTCTCAGAAGGTCTCCACCATAAATCACTTGAGAAGTCTTGTGATTTTTAGCTTTAATTTACCTAGTGGTCATTCTTAAGAATTGCGGAGAAAATTTAGAAATACTTAAGTGGTCATGGAAAATGTTCAATCATTTAGTGTGAAAATAAAATATAAATTAATAAACAGAAAGCTGTAAAATGCACTGTTCTTATACTACTTTTTGGTTTTAGGGACACTTTGTGAAAAATTTAGGTGAAGTTGGAGACAAAGAGACAGAAACAGAAGTTTTGTTACTTGAGCATGATGTTCCACATCAGGCTTTTTCACAGGCTGTTCTTAGCTTTCTGCCAAAGATGCCCTGGAGCATCACTGAGAAGGTATGCTGAAAAGAATTCTTAGTGACGTTATGAATCACTGTATCTGACCTACTAGTTTTATTTGATTTCTGTATGTGTCTTTTAAAAACCATGTAGAAACCTATTCCCCTCCTCCCTTGCATTTAGTTTGCTACAGAATGCTCAGGTTATCATGAAAATCATTTACTTTACTAAAAGACAAACTTCTCTAGGGGACAGACACTGGGTGACATCAACGTTTTCTAAAGGCAAGGGGTTCACAAATTATAAATCATGAAGTGTTGTTATCACTGAGAAATAAAGCTACTTTTTATTATAATTATTGTTGATTTTATAGAGCTGTGTTACATCTGTACCACCAAAATTGTTTTTTATTTTTCAATAATATGGCATCTTTTAGGACATGAAAAGCCGAGAAGACCTGAGACATCTGTGTGTGTGTAGTGTGGACCCCCCAGGATGTACTGATATAGATGATGCTCTCCATTGTAGAGAACTTGAAAATGGAAATTTGGAGGTATTTGTAATTACGATGACATTCTATTCAAAAATACTTCTGGTCTTGAATTAATTTTCTTTTGACCCATTGTAGAATTTGTGAATTATTCATATCGGGTAGAGTCTTGTAGCTGCAGAGACTCATGGCCATGAAAAAGCTGAAATGGTAACTGTGACTGACGTCTTTTTTTCCTTTTAGCTGAATTTCTTCTCATTAGAATTCCTTTAGTACATTTACCCAGTTAAGCATGTTGACATCCTTTTTATCTTTTTAAGGTTGGTGTTCATATTGCTGATGTTAGCCATTTTATTAGACCAGGAAATGCTTTGGATCAAGAGTCAGCTAGAAGGGGAACAACTGTATATCTTTGTGAAAAGGTAAATGTGGTAAATTTAAAGTGGAATTTTGATACATCTTTTCTATCGTCTGTTTTATTCTTAATAAAGTCATCTGAGGTGTTTCCTGAGGAAGGGAGAGCCTCAGTATTTAATGAAATATAAGTAATCACTTTGTTAATTGTGTAGTATGTCATAATCATGGGCACTTTTGGATTCCGAAACAGTGGAATAGTATATGAATTAGCTAAAAGACATACATAGAATAAGGCGACCTTAAATCAGTGAAAATATTGCAGTGTTTTTTGTTACTTAGCCAAATAACAAGTAGATGTAGTTGATATAAATTGTTGTGAAGTGTTAACTTGTCTTTGAGTAATTAATATATTTTCCATTTTTTTACATATAGTTAAGTCATGAGTCTGTTGTGTCACAATTACTATTTCTTCTTCATTAAGTGTGCTCCCAGAAACTTACAGAGAAAATTGTGAGAGTAGAGGGAAAGTCAAGCTTAATTAACTGTCAGAGCTCTTCTGTGTACCTTTTTTCCATAAGAATTCATTGTTTCTCAAGGATGTTGAAAACACCATGGAGTTTGTGTGAAGCATTGGAGGAAGGTCCCGTTGTAGAGTTATTAGGGCTTGTGTCTGTTATCTAGTACAAACATTTTGTACAGAGCAGAGATTTCAGACTTTCAGGGCACAGCTAGGTGGGTAGTGTAAAGAACTTAGCACTGACATGAAATCCAGTTTTCTTTCATTGCTTTTTTTTAAAGTCACTCAGTCGTTGTCCCACTCTTTGCAACATTGGCTATACAGTCCATGGAATTATCTAGGCAAGAATACTGGAGTGGGTAGCCTATCCCTTCTCCAGCCGATCTTCCCAACCCAGGAATTAAACCAGGGTCTCCTGCATTGTAGGCAGATTCTTTACCTACTGAGCTATCAGGGAGGCCTGCTGCTTCCCTCTTGTGAAAATTGCATGTAGCTACTTCTCTAGAAATAGACCTTTTTTACATTTAACATTGTCTCAATTCTATTTACAGAAGCTCCCCCCCCCCACATCAATGTTATTTGAGAATAGAACCTCAAATAAATGTATGGATATAGCTCAGTAATCTGCTACTCTTATTTTATCTGTTTCAGAGGATTGACATGGTTCCAGAGTTGCTTAGCTCTAACTTATGTTCCCTGAGATCTAACGTTGACAGGTATTTATGCACGCTTCTTCATTAAAACATAGTATTTACTACTTTAACTGATTGCCTTTAATAAATACTGTCTTACTTTTCTCCATAGGTTGGCATTTTCGTGTATTTGGGAAATGAGTCACAATGCTGAAATCTTAAAAACAAGGTTTACCAAAAGTGTCATTAATTCTAAGGTTGGTTTCATGTTTAATATTTCATGTTGCACATCTTTTTTACTTTTAACAATGGTCTAGATTGTTTTGAAAAAGTTAGGCTTGTTAATAAGAAGTTTTCCCCCAGTTTTGCCACAAAATCTTGTTTTCAGTTATCTGCTTAATTTTTGATGTTATCTAGAAATGAGTTTCGGAGAAGGCAATGGCAGCCCACTCCAGTGTTCTTGCCTGGAGAATCCCAGGGACGGGGGAGCCTGGTGGGCTGCCGTCTATGGGGTCGCACAGAGTCAGACACGACTGAAGTGACATAGCAGCGGCAGCAGAAATGAGTTGATGTGGCAATTTTTCTGTCTTCAGAAACTTAGAAAGCCTGTATGCTTAGGTGACCAAGTAGATTCTTTTAGCCCTAATGTAGGAACTCCAGTATTTGAAGTTATCCCAATTTATAACTGGTTAGTATTTTAAAAGATGGTGTGTAAACCATTTTCTTGCTCCTCACACTTTTTCACTGAAATGATATAAGCCACAGTTGAATTCTAGTAGAACTAGTCTGAAATTGATGTTCAAACAGAATGGAGCAAGATTACATTTCTCACTCCTTTCCTTCTTTTGTACCTTTCATCCAGTTTCCTTATGCTCTCATTTTGCTCTGAATCTTTCTCTGATGTCTGCGAAACCCTCTTTTTTTTTTTCCTCTGATACAAAATTTAAATTTTATTTTATTTTCTTAGTTCATGGTTAATTTTATTT